CGTAATAAGCAACATATTTATCATTGCTGTGACCATATACCATTCAAACTCACAGTATGCCTGCTACTACATCATTGTAGGCCTCCTGTAGCCCTCATTAGATCCATGTTAGAATATCAGCGCTTGCTGAATTCCGCTGTTAGAACTGCACATAATCACCTTCTGGTCACTCTCTAGTTTGTACGGATTTATTTTTAAGCTTTAACAGAACAGCTGTGGGTATTTAAGCTTCAGAGAACTAGCCTACTTGTATTTACTATTTTTAAGCCCTATTAAAAATTCTGCAACAAAAAGAATATATAATTTCTTTAACAATAAACTGAAGAGGCCATAAAACCACGTATATTCCAGTTTTTAATGTTCTTCTATCTTCCAATATGTAGCTTTTTTATTCAAATGCTTAAAATTATATAATCATCATAATCTATTTCTTAAGCCAGGTAAAGTTAAGAGACAATGTGGTTAGTCCTGAGAGATGATTAAACGCAACATTATTTCTTCCAGCATCCAAAAAGAAATCACCAGTGACAACAAGCTAATAAAGCAGGGTGAGACGTAAGACATTCCAGCCCAAGATCACACAGAGATCCACATACACAGAAGTTACTAGATGACCATCCCTCTCTGATCACAAACTTCCTTGATTCTGTCACCATGACCTTCTTGTACAGAAAAGCATACCTGTTCTATCAAATTTAACTTCCAAAACACACCCACCACTGTGCCTCTCCAGTCTAAATGTACTCTACTTTTTGAAAAGTCACATACGCAGCATTTAAAACAGGCTGAATCTGAAAAGCTGAGATGAAACAACTATCTCCATTATCTGAAGGATCACTGCTTCCCAGTTGCTTCAAATACTAAACCTGATCATCTTCAGTTGGCATTTGCTCTAGATGTGTTCCATCTTGAAAAAAAATCCTTTTTTTATCTAAAATTAATCCAACATTACCATGTGTAGAGAATATTCCCAAGTCCAGCAAGTCACTTTGCCAAATGTGAGAAGACTGATGTAACCCCACAAAATTACTATTAAACGATACATAAAACAGGAACAACTATTTTCCTTGTTTACTAATGTTTCAAGGAAATTACAGCTAAATTCCAAGTCTTTTAAAAAGTACTTTTTTCCTCTCTAATAAGGTTCTTGCTCTTTCCTTGCCTTTTTTTTTTTTAATCTGAGGACAAAGAGGAACACAGAACTGCAACTGCAAGCACAAACATGAGCTTATATTAACCAAAATAAGAGAACATTGTGAAACAGTTATGTTTACTACATATTTGGAAAAAAAAAAAAAAATCACATCATGTAACACTAAATTCTTCTAAAAACTGCTACCATTATTCCTGTGCTGCTGACCACATTCTATAGACTTGAATTTTCTCCCTCTACTTGTACGCTCTACACCTTCCTTTCTCCACTAATAACTTCTAAACAAGTCAATTATGGCTATTTTATGCTGAAGTACTGTCAACCGGAAGGGAGTGTCAAGAGGCTGGCACAGCCAGCAACAGGAGTAACGCAGAAAACTGATGAGTGATCTGTGGCATTCAGCAGCATCTGATAAGCTTAAAGAGTCTATGAACATATTTACATATATTAATTTCCTCTAGCAATTTTTGAAAATTTAAGCAAGCAGATGCTTTGGAAGTTCTCTGGCTAATAACAGAGACTCAATTTACATTGTGAAAGGTATCTTTTCCTGAGATAACATAATGTTAAAAGTCACATTTTAAAGTTATGTGAAGTTATTAATAAATATCAGCTCTGATTAAGTACCTGTAGTTCGTTTACTAAATCAGTATTAAAAAAATGGTTTACCTATTGCTTTTAAGCAATTCTAAAACCAGTTAAAAGTTCAAATTTATGTCGAATTTGGTTAAGCTTTCTTCAGAGAAGAAGTAATTATATGTTCTCTCTTTTAATTACTGAAAACAATGTTTGTGTTAAAGGTAAGCTCTTGCACCAAATTTCCAAGAAGTTGGGCCGTAGATCAACATGAAAATATATTCAAAACAAAAGTATTTAATACAATAGGAAAGAGAACTTAGAAATTTTCTTTGAAGTATTGTTTTTTCAAAATGTGATTTCTTGAATTATTCAAGCTTCAGTCGCAGCATCCCTCACATATTACCTAGATGCACAGCCACACACGAAGATACTGGCCCTTCTTTAAAGGGCATTAATTACTATGGCAACTACTATCACTGACACAGGCAGCTCCGTTTATGTTATCGTTACTCATATACTCTTAGAAACACCAGAAGCCCATGCCATTTGCAAAGACAGTTTATAACTCAATGTTATCCCCCTGTATCCAGTAATTACTTGAAATATACCATCTTACAAAAATAAAGTAAAATGCTTCTTAAGCTAAGTGAATATACAAGACAGATTTTGTCATACAAATACAGTGAACATTTGTGCCCAAACTTTCAAGCAATTCACAGAAGTTTCAGAGGCTGAAATACATAAAATTTAGAAATACATGAATGGATGCCTCATTGTCCTCTTATGTCCAACACTGTCTGAAAATTTCAGTGTGGAACATACTCAGAAACAACCCCCCACCCCTCCTCAAATAATTATTTTTCATATCATATACCTGGCTTCCAAAACACTGATAAAGAAGTGTTCAAATCCAGTAAGACTGATACACAGAATCACAAGCAAGAGCTTGTTTCTGTGTTTTCGTACATTTTCATAGTATCTCTACATCTCTAATTTATATATACAAAAGATTTATTAAATGAATCAAATTAAAAAAAATGAGGCTCCAAAGTACTACTCTGTTGCCTATGCGACGTTCTAGTAAATAAATTGTACCACATTATACATACATATAAACATACTCTCACAAAAATTTACAGATTGTCCTACTGAACCTCTGCCCTCTGCACAGAACAATTAAGAAAGTTATTAATTTTTTTTCTCAATGTATGACCTGATTTATTCTCCTTCCAATATTCACTTCTTTCTCTAAACGAACAGAATTACTAAAACGTCCCTTCCACAGCACTCACTACTACAGGAACTGATTTCATATTTTAAAATATCCCAAGAGACATTATTTTCACAGATAGGAAGCCAAGGCATACAGAGATCTACGAAGCTATACAGTCCTCATTCATTTTCGATGCTCATTTTAACACCAGTTTTTTAATTCTTCGCATTGTACGGTATCTCATAGATTAAAAAGAAAGCTTCTGTTGTTTGTGGATTCAGGCGCTCAGCAATCCCTCTAGTCAGGGATTAAGATCCTAGGCATACTCAAGAAAATAAAAAGGAATTATTAATTACTACTTTGCTGTGAAAAGTTTGTTTTAGGAGCTTGTCTCACGCTGTTTAGGAAGCCTGTGACAAAGCAAAGGAGTTCAGTTCTCCTGAGCTGCATTAAACAGGCTTAACCTTGAATCTGTACTTTTTCTGCAGATTCCTGTTACTTTCATTACACATCTTCCAACTACACTGGTAGGTCAGGCAGAACAATACATGGTACTGGCACCTGCTCATGTAATTCCAGAATATTTCTATTCTCTAAGAACTGAAACAGAAGATGTACGGGGCAAAAAAAACAGGAGGAAAAAACACACATCTGCAGAGAGGAAAAAAAAAATAGCAAGACTTGGTAAACTTTAGTTTCTTTAACCTTTGTATACTATACTGCACTTAAGTCTTCACAGGCTTTTCTGCTGAATTCCTCCAAGCTTGGTCCTATCAGTTCAGCTGCTGTCCTACCTCAGGTTCCTCGTTTCAGACCTCTTCTCTTTGCCTCTTCTGTTTGCCCTCTGTGATTCAGGACTCGGATGAATATCCTTGCTAAGCCTGACATCAGATTTTCTTCTAGACTTGCTCTCTTAACTCCACTCTGCCTACGAGCCCCAACTCCTACCCTCTTCTTTTCTTTTGCCCAACTGCACTTAGCCATCCCCAGCAGTACCAGTGACCACCCTCTCTTTCCACGCTTGACTGAGATACCAGTTCCAAAAGCTACCAATCTCTCTCCTTAAATTACCCCCATGACGTCCTTTGCCAGCTCTCTTGTCTCAGGCTTTTCCTTCCTTTGTTAACCATTTGCCCAGCCCTTCCTCCTCCTCAATTAATACTCCCTTTTTTCACCTGCCCTCATTTTTTTCTCTACAGCTTCCAGATTCCTTCACTTGTAAATCATCATCTCAGCACAGTACTATTTCCCTCATTATGGTCACACTATGGTTCTCTAGTTATTCAAACAGGCATTGGGCACATTTTGTTCTTTAGGCCTCCCTTTTCTATCCCGCTTCAGTGACAACTCAAGATCCTCAAAAGCACAGGAGAGAGAGGCTTCCCCTTTTCCTTTCAACATCTAGTTTGACCAGTTACTGAGCCCTGAAATTTGTACTGCACCACACTCAGTCTGCAAAGAAAGCACAGGTGCAAATACAGTCACACTCGCATCAAAGAGATGCTCTGAAGGTCAGATATTTTAGCAGCTAAGGACACAGTTCCTTCTACCCACATAAACTAGTATTTTTCAGAGGGTCTGCTAATCTGCATGAAGTTTTGTAGCTCTCCATAGGGGAAATAAAATATATACAGCAGATAAAAGCCATCCTCTTAACAGATTTCCAGATGTAGCTTCCAATTACAAATATTAAAACATTTCACACAAAATACCCCAAGAATTTAGTGAGGCAGAATAATTTTACCAGGCTTTTTCTCGGTAACAGTTGCACTATTCCAAGCAAGCTTCTTCATAAAAACAATTTCAGTCTGAGGAAAACATCCTGCATAGAAAGGACTGAAAGGATGTTTCTGTCTGAACAGGAAGAGTTGCACATACTTAAGAGTGCTTATTTTCAATGGGGAGCAGAGACATTAACACACAGAACAACCAAGTCTTTTTCAGTGACATTTACTGTGGAGCTGTAAGAAACACCTAAGAGTTTGTATTTCCGTTAGTTCATCTGCTTTCTTATAATGTTTGGATTAAAATACAACTTATTGCAGTTTAACTTACCGAACATTTTCTGGTCTCAATTTATCCAGTACCATCTCTATTAAATCAGGCCTGAATTCTTCAAGCAAATATTCAGCAGCCAATACTTCTTCTATAGGATAATACTAAAAAACAAAGCCCAGAAACATGTAGATGAATTAAACAAAAACTAAGCATGAAAAAACTACTATTTTGTAAAGGAAACAAAAGTGTATACTTCTGGTCACTAAATCTGTACTACCTTGGTAATTTCAAATTAGAAGTGCACAGACGTCTTAAAATCTTTCTCTTAAAACTAAACAAGATGGAGTAGTATTCTAACTAGACAATTATATTTCTCCTGTATTAGGTAATTTTATATACTGTGTACTACCATTCTTTTCTTTTGAAGTATTTTATGTCTCAATATAAAAAGTCACCCACCTTTAAACAATGTTTTGAAGTAACTGAAGCAAAATAACATGGTAAATGCTGACCCCTGGAGGATATTTTTAAAGATAAAAGAACAAGTACAAACTGGAATGCATTTGGGAAAACCAAAACATAACAAAGTGAAAAAAAACAACTAATTTTTTTATGATTCTCTAAGAATTCTATTTTGATTTACAGTAAAGTATTGTTCAATTATCTAAAAGCATTTACAAATTTACACAATTCTAATTCTAACATTTTTTATTTAGAATCAAACTGAAAATCTGTTAAGGTACACCACAATTTAAGAAAAAAACAACCAACCAACCATTAAAATTCCTCTGAAAATGATTAGCGTGGTTGACAGCAAAACTTTGTTGACAAACATCTGTTTACCAAAGGAAAAATCAGGTGACCTAGCACTGAGTACTTGCAGTTCGCCATACAGGTGTACTTTTCTTGACCAGAATTATTATAAAATTACTTTCTGAATTACATTCATTATATAAAAAACTAGAGTGGAATAACTTCCAGAACAGAGAGTAATGCACACAAAGGATTGTGGAAAAGAGAAAGGGCTGGGGGAAGGTGGAGACCAAGGACAATAAATCAAACTTGTGTTACAAAAAATTCCAATGTGAACAGTAAAGATCCAGAATTTGAAAGGTCTTGTCCAAAAGATTCATGGTACACTGAAGAATGCTCATTTAACTACATTCTGCATAAACAGCTAAGCAAACTAAGCAACTTGAAGGAGAGATTTAAGTAATCTGTGCACTTCTACTCTGAAATTACCAAGGCAATACAGATTTAAGCACCAAAAGTCTGCACTTTATTTCCTTTACAAACACAGGCCACAGTTTGCCCACCAGCTGGAATTGCACATGAAATTTATTTGGTTACTTTGTTATTTTTGTACTCCTGCTTGAGCAGGAGGGTTGGACAAGATGGCCTCCAGAGGTCCAGTTCAACCTCAACCATTTTGTGATTCTGTGACTACTTTTCAGCAAGGTCAGAACATAATGTAACTAAAATAAAACAGACTAAAATAATCTACATACAACAATCAGGTTAAAATATATTTTTTTATATTATACAATTAAGGAGACAAAACAAAACAAAATAAAGTAGGCACTGCAATCCAGGGAACAGCCATCTGGAAAACATTAAGCCTACATATCACAAATATGAAATCTAATTTGACAGCAAGACCTTAGTGGTGACTCCTTAGACCAGCACTAATGTGCTTTAAAGATGAAGTTCTGTTTCACTAAATAAAAAGTTTTTTAAATCTGTTTGGTAAATACATGACAACTTACAACATTACATTTACTCATGCTAACTTACACACAGGTTCTTCTCTAAGTTATGAAAACCAGCTAGTATTCATAAGTGCATTAAATTAACAAACAACTGTTGCAGCTTGATTAATTCAAAGCATAAACTTAGTATCACTCCAAGGCAATAAAGAGAACGAGAAAAGCTATTTTTCTATTAGTATTTAAGCAACTAACAGAAGAATCAGAATTACCATTCATACTGCAAAGCACAGCTGAAGAAAAGCAGAGGGAAAAAAAAGTCCTGTATCAATACCCTGCTCTTTGGAACACTGCTGGCAACTGATTTTTGGAGACAACGATTGTAATTGGGAATGATCAAACAAATACAGACCACTGAAAGACTGTTTCAAAAGTCCCTTTTTTAAAGAGATACTATGAATTTGACAGAACAAAAGCAAGAGACAGCATCCCAAATAGTAGCTCCTTTAAATATCCATTTAAATGTTTTCAGTTAATTCTAATGGGTTTTAGTAAACAGGAAGACAATTCTAAAATTAAAGACCATTATTTTAGACTTTACAAATTAAAGGTGTAGGAGCACTAAGAGGAGTTCCTGCAAAGAAACCAAAAATGCCTCTGAGTAGACATAGACATGAGCTGTGCAATAGAGAATGGCTGCAACATATAAAAGTTGCATGAATCAACTCCATACTTCTATACTTCAAATTACTTGTCATTGGGCAGGAGTGTTGATCTGCTTGAGGGTAGGAAGGCTCTACAGAGGGATCTGGATGGGCTGGATCGATGGGCCGAGGCCAACTGTATGAGGTTCAACCAGGCCAAGTGTTGGGTCCTGCACTTGGGTCACAACAACCCCATGCAACGCTATAGACCTGGGGAAGAGTGGCTGTAAAGCTTTCCGGCAGAAAAGGAGCTGGGAGTATTGGACGACAGTCAGCTGAATATGAGCCAGCAGTGCGCCTGGTACCTCAAATACTGTGGTCAGTTTTGAGCCCCTCACTACAAGAAAGATAGAGGTGCTGGAGCATGTCCAAAGAAGGGCAGCGAAGCTGGTGAGGGGTCTAGAGCACAGGTCTTACGAGGAGCGGCTGAGGGAACACAGATTGTTGAGTCTGGAGAAAAGGAGGCTCAGGGGAGACCTTATCGCTCTCTACAACTACCTGAAAGGAGGTGGTAGCCAGGTGGGTGACAGTTTCTTCTCCCAAGTAATAAGCGATAGGACAAGAGGAAAACACCTCAAGTTACGCCAGGGAAGGTTTAGATTGGATGTTAGGAAAAGTTTGTCCTCCAAAAGAGTCATCAAGCATTGGAACAGGCTGCCCAGGGAAGTGGTTGAGTCACCATCCCTGGAGGTATTTAAAAGACATGTAGCTGCAGTGCTTAGGGACACGGTCTAGTGGCGGACTTGGCAGTTTTAGGTCAATAGTTGGACTTGATGATCTTCATGGTCTATTCCAAACCAAGTGATTCTATGAATTTCACTAGTAAAAAAAAAAAAAAAAAAAAAAAAAACCACCAAAAACCCACCTAATTCCTCCTTTAGCGCAAAATGAGGGCAATGAACTTTGCAAGAAGTATAAAGACTAAGTATAAGCCACATTACGATTCGTTCAGTATCAATACATAATCACATTAGTAGAGCCAAACACTTCTAATTTGTTATTTTAATATGAACATTTCTGCTTACTGCTGTTATTTCAGCATTGTTAACTATGGAAGCCTTTAGAAACACAGTGCTTGTGTTTATGATAAGACACAGAATGACAAAGTACATATGTCTTAAGAAACATGGAAACAGATCAAATAGCAACTCTAGTTACTGTAAAATCAGTTCTACCAAGTACAGAAGTATAAAATGGTAGAGAGTGAAGGAAATATGACTTATTGACTGCCAAAACTAAAACCTATGCAGCATGATATTAGCCTCCTAAGCTCGGGAAGTGCCAAGGACCTTTGCAAATATCTATACTTATTAGGAGTCCAATCAAACATAGCACTAAATGATTACTATATGGTTAAAAAAAAAAAAAAAAAAAGAAAAAAGAAAAAACACCACAAACTTACATGCAGCATTCCTCCAAGCTTTGATGTATAACCTCGTGGTCGTTCTTTATCTTTGAATCTGAATGCCACAGCATTTAGATCCTAGGAAACAACATAGGAAGGGTTGAAAAACATATATTAAAGACTATTTTAATAATAATTATTGGCTACTTAATTTGTTTTTATACTGTAAGAAAAGGAAGTTTTGTTGTATCCATTTTAGAGTAGTTAGGTACCTAACACAAAAGTTTTCAGTAATATTCAAGTTGCAGAAAACTCACAAGCAATTTCAAATAGTCTCACAATGTGAAGTGCTATACAAGTCAGCTAAGTCCTGTTTGTAGTGAGATCTGTCCCATAGCTCATATATTAAAATTTCCTGATAATTTGAAAACACACCAACTCAGATATAACCAATGCACAGTGTTTCAGTGCAAAGTTTGTTGTATGTTAATGAACTGAAGACTTTCCCTCTTTCTTTTTTGTTCCTTTTGTTTAGCCAGATAAAAGGTAAGTTTAGAAACAGAAAAAGTGTGATTCTTTATGCTGTCTTAGCCACAGAAATAGAACAAATCATTCTTAGAACACAATGGAAAGGGTGAAGTAAAGAGATCTAAGACTATAAAGCCAATGAGAAGGACAGTCCATCCTTCCCTGAAACCATGTAGAGCCTGGTTAATTCAACGATTCAGCTGAAAATAAATTCAAAAGAAGATTCTTTTCAGACTAGTTTGCCAGCTCTTCTGACTCACCTCACGGTCTCAGGAGTGCTGAGGCTGATACAAGAGGAGCAAGGGAAACACACAGGGATGAGATGGGAGGAAGGAACTATCTCTTTAAAATCTTGTATTTGCTTACAGTGACAGTGAAACAATTCCATTGCGACTTTTAGCAGAGTAAAGAGATGACTTTTACAGGTATACAGCGTAAAAACGCAAGAAACAAAATTAACGCATCTGCAGAATATCTGCTCTTAGAAGAGACTCAACAGTTTTCACCAAAGCTAAGATAGAACAAGAAATCTTTACCCAAGTATTTGTAGTGAACCAGTAAAGACTATACATATATATATAAATAAAAACTTTTTATTTGAGTCATCCAGTTGCAACTTTAAAATTAATAAATATAATTGCCATGTGATTATTAAAGACTATTTCTACAGTCAAGGAAACTGTTTCTACTTATAATCCAAAAATTTGTAAAAATACAACCGCCCTGTATTTCAAGTACCAATCACTGTACCTTACACTCTTGGAAAACCCATTCTTGAGGTCCTTCTGTACGTAGTTTTTGAATATATTGAAACATGTGCAAAATAATATCTTCAACGTGCACTGGAAAGAAAAAATACTTGCTTAATAATTCACTCATTTTTGCACAAGGAAAAAATCCTGATGAACACAAATACGTAAGGTTTTATTTTTAAACACACCCTAATAAATCAAGATATTTAAGTACATATGCAATCCCACTGGCAAAGTGAAATTTATGTCTGAGAAAAACATGTTTAAGGCAAGTGTTTAGGTCCCCAGCTAATTCTGAGAATTGAACAAGTCTTACGTTAAGATATGGACATAATATATATAATATATAATTTAATTCAAGTCTAAATAGTATGAATAAATAGCAAACAAAGCTATTAACAGCTTTTCTTTTTTTTTAAGATATTTACTTTAAAATATTTAATTAAATAGTTTGACTTAAAATAACATTAAATAAGTTGGTTTCTTAGGTTAGATGAAGTGTGTTGGCATACTGAGAGAATCTGAACACAGAAGAACCACCAATTAATTAAAATAAATTGGCTTTCAAGCTATAAACACTATTAGTCTCTTTGGATACAACCACAAACCCATCAGGATCAGGAATAACATGGAATGCAGACATCATGCTTCACTTACAAAGTCCTTCCTCTGTCAAGTCCACGTTAATGATGAAAAACATGAAACCTCTAGCACCTTCCTTCTGTCCTCCAACAAGAGTATTTACCCATCCTATGAAATAAAAAAGAAAATATACTACATAAACAAATCTGTAACAATTTATGCTGCTTTTTGTATGCTTCAGTGACATTACTTTTTTTTTCTTTGTTTACATTTTGACTACTAGTTCCCCTTCTCTTCCTTAATGCCTACAGCAACATTAACATGCAAGTTAAACATAATACAAGTCAGATCTATCTGATTTTGTGCTCAGAGTAATATGACAAACTCAAGACCACTTGATTACTGCGTAATTTATTTCTGTTTGGAACACACTAATATAAAGAAAAACAGCAAAAGATACATTCTTATGGTCTTCCAGACATTAAGGGACCTGACAGTAGTCTCTACGTCAGTGACACAATACAGACAAGACTCTTTTATCAAAGTTCAAGGGACTCTCTGAACAGGGGTAGGTAAAGGGGAGTGCAAGAAATAACAGCTTCAATAGTCACGAGTCCCTGCTATTTATTTAGTTACCCACTACAGAAACAAAAATAAAGGGTAAAATGACTTAAAACTCAAATTACTCAAACAGTTAGGGGCTTTAAATTTAACACATGTAAAACATAAGTGAAACGTAGCTAAGCTTCCAAAAATTGTGTAATAAATTACTTTTTAATTTTTTACCTTCAAAGGACTTACCTTTGGCTTTAAGCTCTGATAAAAGACTCCCTGGGCCTTCATGCCCAATCAGATGACCGAGGTAATGGCCAGGGTTTGATTTATAGTACTTCTGAAGGTCTGGTATAGGAAATGTGACATAAAGATTTCTAATGTCCTTAATAGGTACCACTTTGTAAAGTTGCTGATGGGGAAAATAAACAAAGATATCCATAAACAAAAGGAAACTCATTTTGTTCATCTCAGGAGCACATACCATGTTCCTTTCATACACGCACATTTTATTACAAACGTATCAACAAAATCTCATAAGTCAAGGTATGTGAAACTTCGGGCAACACTTTAGCCATTCATGATGCAAACAAAAAGAGAATTAATTATCTCAGCTGCTTACAGCTGCAACCGAATGTACAATCTTTACTATGAACTATACAAAACTATACTCTACTCAGCATGGAAAGGTGGGTGGAAAATTAAGAAAGAAATACAGAACTTAACAGGGACACTGATACGAAAGCAGCGAAGTGCACAATGCATTACTGAAACATAAAAAATATCATTTAAGGTATACACTCCTGATGCATCTCTATACGTACCCGGAGATGTTCTTCTTGGAAAGGATGTTCAGGAAACTCTGGTATAGGGACATTTTTATTCTCTACTTCTGAAAATAGCTTTACCACTAAGCAAGTCAGCTCATCCAAGGATTCTAGAATAAAGAAACATTAGAAAAAGCATAATCATTACCTGAAGGTTCCAGTAAATTTGGATTTTGTACATTTTTGGGGGAAGATATTAATTACACAGAAAAGCAGTTTTAATGATATAACAATGACTAATTTCAGAAAGGAAATCTATAATAACACTTAAGTTTTGAAATATAATGTCCTATAAGCACCTTATAGGTGCTTCCTTATTAAAGGAAGGCTTCATGATTAAAATAAAAACATCTTTAAATTTTACTGAAGAATTTAAGTTGGAACTGAAGAAGATACATCAGATATTGAACGTTTACAAAAACAAACATTCCACAAAAAGCTTAAGGTATATGGAATTACAGCTGCAAGTTTTCCAGAGTGAAAGCATCTTTGCCAAAACTTGGATTTTCTTCAGCCTCAGCTCACCTTCAGTACTTCACGTACACTGTGAGCCAGGGTCCTCTGTCCTCAGCACCCCAAAATTTCACACACATCTGTGACCTGTTTAAGCAATTCTGCTTTTACATCCATTCTTGTTTCAGTCCATGACTCTAGTACTCTCCAGAAACGAGAGGAAGATCATTCGCAGGCATCAATACTGTTTCAGTTGAAATACTGCTTTCAAAATAACTATCTGCTTAAAGAAATGCACTTTGGAGCACTTGTCAAAGCCACAAGAAGATAAGAAAGACTCATTTGTCAAGTTTTTTAGCACACCCCTTTCAAGGGTGGGCGTTGAATTAAAAAAAAAAAAAAAGTGTTTTGGATGTCTCAAAGTACAACCTTAATCCTTGAAAGATTTCAAAAAGTGGTCGCTTTGTTAGTCAAAACAATCCTAGTCAGATTTAGAAAACAGAATCTTTCCTGCCCAACATATGTGTGCTCCTACACTACAGTGAGAAAAACAACGCAAACCAAGACGGGTCACTGTATAATAAAATTTTGTGAACTGCACATAATTCTATTAGAGACCACTTTTTTATCCACCTCAGCAAAATACACATTCATTTAAGCTTTACAACTACAGAGAGGGTTTTCTTTAGGACAGATTTCAAGTTGCCAGTGTGATGCTTACTGGAAAAGCTTCCATTTAGAAGTCTATACCTGAACTGCTATACTAAAGCTGTTCTATGATTACTCAGTGAATTTTGCTTTTAATTCAATAAAAAAATGAATTGAATGTCATTATTTAATTTTACTAGAGAAAATTTACTATAGAAATTATATTCTGATTCCTCCACCACTTTTTACTGACATATATTTTTATTTGTTTTACATTGCATATATAAAGTGCTGGGAAAATCAGAGAATTGATTCTGTGTATTTCAGAATGCACAAGAGTAGAGAGATCATGGAGGACCTGCAGTGTGCAACTCAGCATCTTCTTATGTCATTGAATTTCTAGTCATTTATTTATGTATTAATTAGCAGTACTGCTACATTGATAGCAAGGTATTTCAGCAAAGATTTTATGGAATAATACTAACAAGATTTGCAGTTCTGCAGTTTGCTTTTTATGGGTGGACCTCCCTGAAAATAATTTAAAAAAAAAACATAAAAATCAGGAAGAATGTGGAACTTGTAAATTTTCACAAGCCCTCAAATAGCCAAATCAGTCATTAATATAAAGCCTTCTGGAAAGTAATTGCATAATTCTGCTGCTTGAACAAATAACAGAGTGAGAAAAGGTACGTGTCTTTTCAGAGAAAACAAGATGCAACCTCACTATTACAGTGACAATTACTTAATTAAATAAGGGTAGTTGTATAGCATTTGTATACAAGCAGATCAACAAAAAGCCTGAGACCTACCTTGCAAAATTTTATTTATTTATTTTCTAAGACTGAAAGGAAAAATCCCAAAGATCAATGTTTCAACGGCTCCTAATTTTTCTAAATATTGAACTATTTACAAGGGTAACTCACACTGAAAGAATTCAACTGTGAAAAATGACTAACAAACCACCTAAATTCAGGATTTTAACAGGAATAAATTTTGTATTTTGTAGTAGTAAAAAAAAATACATATGTGCAAACTGCAAATATGCTTGAAAGGTAACAGATTTTAAGACCATTTTCTACATTTTATTGCTATTTGAAATGCAAATCTTGTCTGTCCTGGAACATTGCCTGTCTAGTAAAGAACTAGTTAAAGAAAAAAAAAATGCCTGGAAACCTTGAAAACAGGACTGTTAAATGAGGAAGAGAATTTTAACTCACTTGTTTTAAACTCTGATGGATATCTATTTACCTTCAATTAATAAGTAAATATTTTTATAGAACTTTTTTTTCTCAGTTAAAATAAATGGAAAAAAAAAACTGAGAAGAGGGAAGCATCTCTTTCAAATAGAATAAAAATAAATTCTCAATATTGAAAAATATTTACCAACTATCTTAATCAATATTGCAGTGTTTATTTGCAGAAATCTTCCACTGCTACCAGGAGAATAAGCAAGGCACTTTAGCATGACATACATTAAGCCCTAGTGCTACTACCTACACACCTAATAGTAACACATCTGATACCTCGGCTTTAAAAAAAAACATCTAATACATTTTACTGTTCAGCTTGCAACAGTGAAAAAAAAAACTTTCACCATATTCTAATCAATACGTGATGTTACAGCAGGTGAGATATAATAATAAATTGAATTGAAAGGGATTAGGGAGTCTGGAACCTCAGAAGAAAGAATATACACAAAACTTGGATTCAGTTAAGAAGTACAATCCCCATCGCGTTTGCCCACCTTAAAAATCTAAAAGAAAAAATGATTCATGTATATGCTATGGTTGAAATTAAACATTACAGGCACTTTTTGTTAATCAGCTTCACACTCAGCATCTTGTAAAGAGACGGTTGTAAAGGAAGAGTTCACTTTGCTAATGAATTTTATTCCATTCATACTCACCATCCAAGCATTACTGTAGAACATCACACAAACACTGATCTGCCAGCCCATTTTCAAAACGCAGAGTTTTCAACACACTGTTATTAAGCTTTGGGCAAACCTATATAAAACATCATCTCAACTGCGGAAGACTTTAAGCAGTTGGAAGCTCTGTCAAGTTAATTCTAAGTAAACTGGAGTAAAGGCTTTTTATCTAAATCCTAGTTTAGGTTTATCCTTTGGTAACACAGACATTTTTGTAGTGGAAGTATAAGTCAAATACGGAAACACTATCAAAAGCTCTCTCAACATCTGAAACCAGACAGGTGTCAGTCTTTGTAAGACAAACATAAAATGACAGCAAATAGTAACTTGATAATGGATTTAAGATTTTCAGCACAGTTTTTCTATTGTAAGCTTATAAACAGATAAACTTATACACTGCAAGTTGCTTTGGAGATTTCACTAAACATAAAATAATGTTTGGTCAGTCTGTACAAGTTTTACTTTTTTCCCTACTGTAGATTTTCAGACACTTGCATACACTTCATTTTCTTCTGACATAAATACATGTAAAGTCTTAACCAACAGAACAAAACTCACCTCTTCCTAAGACACAAATAGCCATTAAATTTGATGAATAATAAGTAGAATGGAACTTCAGTAGCTCTTGTCTTACATCTATTCCTTCTTTGGTTGGTCTAGTTTCCAGAGTGAGTTTATTCCCTATAACATCAAAAAAAAAAGTTAACAATACTTGATGTTTATGAATTTACAAATCAAAAAGAAAACTATAAATTAATAAATCTGCTTTCTTCCAGATGGATAGTACTTTTAAAAACAATTACTATGAATATGTAAATGGGATCAATACTATCTCAAGTTATCAGAGACAACAAATACTTCCACTCTCAATCTGCATATTCTTGAAGAACAAAGGATGTTTCAGTCTTCCAAATGAAACTTTTTAATTTGAACGGGTTATTTCAAAGCAATGCAAGTGTCCAGGCCCTAATTCGGAAGAAAAACATTTTTCTTCGGCACATTTGGAGTAGATTTATGACACGCTCCTCCATAGGAATCGCTGTGTGAAATTATTTGTGGCATTGTGTGCCACAAATCATAGTCTAGTATATTAAATGAAATAAATAATTACTAAGTTACAAACATGATTTGTAAATTACGACTGCTCAGCTTCTGCTTCACAAACAGCTGAGCTGTTACTGCAGCAGAGGAACAGGACTGAAGAGGAAGAGAACTACAACTCTCCCTGAATAAGCTCATAAGCAGAAGATACCAAACTTGCTCCATTAAGTTATCCTCCTGTTAATTAGTGCAATCTTTACATCAACATCAAGCTTTCAGTAATTTACTCTAAGGACATATTCTACATTAACAGTCAAAGCAGAACTTGTCTTTAGGAAGGGTAAGAACTTGAAACAACAGAAAAATTAGAGTCTACAAAGAGCACATTAGATTTTAATCAAGTCCATTTCCCACTACTACATGGACACACAAAATGGTCCACAGAATCTACAGACCAGAACTGCAAACTAATATTCTATCTGTTAACTTTGAGATCAGTAACTTCATTAAGCCACAACCTGACCAGGTACACAAGAGAACAAGGCATGGGGAGGAAGACTAAGAGAAGAAAATGTAGCAGAAAAGTTGACTTGTGTGTTTATAGGTACAACAGTAAGAAAGAGCGAAAAGACTGGGAGAGCCCAGAGAAGTTGTGGCTGCCTCATCCCTGGAGGTGTTCAAGGCCAAGTTGGATGAGGCTTTGAGCAACCTGATCTAGGAGAAGGTGTCCCTGCCCATGGCAGGGGAGTTGGAAGTAGATGATCTTTAAGGTCCCTCCCAACCCAAATCATTCTATGATAAGCCTAATTACAACTGCAACAGTCAACAAATCATCATAGAGAGCCTACATGAAGCAATATAGAACCATAGGATATGTTTTTGACCATAATTATGTCTTTTAAATTGAGGTTTTGGGGTGTTAATTTTCAATTGTTACTAAGCATTGTGTGAATAATACAGCTTGAAAAATCCTACAGCCATAAGACTGGGATTTGTCCAAGACTGTTTTATCTATCCATCTACTACTGTGTTTTATGCTTAAGATTTTGTTCTTATATTCTTACTCAGTATATTTTCACATTCCTTTGCTGATCTTTCTGATTTGACCTAGTCACTGTCATCTAGTCCTAATGAAATACTAGTTAGCAAAAAGAGCATGTGGCCAACAACAATTTAAACACAGTTCATTTGCTTTGTTATGCACAAAGACTTAACAGCACCAAATTATGACAAATCCATTAATTGGAAAACAGCATTCATCACAGTAATTATCAGAATCATAAAGGATGTTTCATCACTGTACTGCAAGTCTTGGATCGCTCCGTTTCCTATGTTTTTGTCTAGCTGTTTGGTCTATGATGTGGAAAACGTGATAAAGCACCTTAATAAACATGTATGGAGAGAAAAAAGAGGGAATTGTTTCAGTCTGTCTTTAACAATTTTATATAAACAATAATACTATGTATGTTACACAGAATTCCAATGGATGGATAATTATATTCTGACAAACCTGTTCCAAATTTACTGAAGGGATGATTGGGGTTTCCAGTAGCCTTCTCTAATTGAAACAACCTCCAGGCATCATTCATCAGATTCTTTTCATGCTCAGAATCAACAGCATTCACTTCTCTGTCTTTGCAGCTTTCATCAAACAAAGGGCATAGGAAAAACTGGGCAAACCTAAACAGAAAAATTTTAATTCAAGTCAAGAGTACTGTACATAAATGTTAACAGAAAAGTATGAAGCTTGGTATCTCCTGAAAACAGGTGAAGACTTAAAAATTCTGTTAACAGTTTTGACACTGATTCACTATCTTTATGTCTCAAATTCTTCATCTATACGTGCCGACGACAATATATTTATCATATAAGGTACTACAAGGACCAAGGACCTTGTGTCATAATTCATATACTGAAAATTTCTACTGTTTTGAAGTTTAGCTGCAAGAAGCTCTTAATCTCAAAAATCAAATCAGTCTTGTCAGACACCCAGGAAAAATCTAAAGGGAAAAATCCACTCTTTACCTCACTGACTACAAACTTTTAAATTTCTATCTGCTCCCACAAAAGGCAAAGATTTCAGCGAGTTCCCTGTACTAAAGACATCCTAATATATTTCTAGACTTCTTCCTTCTTTTCCTATCAACGAAATAAGGATCTTACGGAAAGTACGGTACTTGATTACACAATCAGAGTATTAGCACAATGCATAAGTTCACAATCATATTCTGTGCCCCACATTTCAAAAACTACTCAGTGTAAACACAACCTTTGAACTTCAAAAATTCTGTCTCAATGAAGAACTCTGCCAGCTGAAAAAATATGAGCAAAACTTTTGAACTGAAAAATCTCCTATCGGTTTTAACAAAAGTGTTTGCAACCTTTTCTTTAACATCATAACGATAAAACTATCAAAAAAACTTCTGCACAATTTCAAATAGCAACTATATAACAAAAAATTAAATGTAAAAAAAAATGTGATTACCTGTCTAGTGCACCTTCCAGATGTTCATGCGACACATCGAAGTAATAGTTGGTATGCTCTCCACTTGTGAAAGCATTTGAGCTCCCAGCATGCTCACTAAGAAACTGGCTATACTCATTCTCTTTTGGATATTTCTTGGTTCCCAGGAACAGCATATGCTCACAAAAATGACTAAGCCCAGCAATGTTGGGGGGATCAGATAAGGATCCTGCAGGACGAAAAACTTCATGTTACCATTCATAAAAAGTAATACTAAAACGTTAAGTTTTTTAAAGTGCTTTATACCACAGTATGTTGCCTTAGGCAATTATATCAATTCTGTAGATGTAAGAAGACACTTATGCAACTATAGTAAACTAAATTCAACCTTAAAAAAAAAAAAAATTAGAATGAGTAACTAAACCAATTAGTGTCTCAAATTGCCTCTCCAGATCAGCCTGCATTGCCTTATAGAGACAATTTTCCAATTGAAGTCCATGACTCATAATCTGTAAAGTCCTGGCACATTGCAATGTTCTGACTTCTATACCTTGACTTTAATAACTGCACTGCGTTAAAAGTTAGCAATTGCCAACCACAATTAAGGAGGCATTTATCCTGTGGTTTATAGGACAGGTGATAACCTGTAATTCCCTGAACACCAGCAGCTATTGATGACCAGCTAGTAGGTGTGAAAGCAGATAGATCAAAAGACAATAATGATGTGCAAGAACGAAAGCCAGAAATGTGGAAGTTTGAGTCTGGCAGTCCTGCTTTGGAGTGTGCAACAATGTGCAATGGGAGAGTAGAGATAAATGCAAGAGATACACCTCCTCCAGTACATGTGCAGGAACTGGATGCTGCAGTTGGCTGTTACTGTCACAGTACCTAACAAAATCACATTTGGGATCCTCTGAACTAGATAATTATTTGTGACGGACACATCCATGATAAAAAAAAGGTCAGAAGTTTTCAAAGCTACTGCACTACTACTGTCCTAACACCACCAGCAGCAACAGCACTCAACTACAAACAGGACAAGAGGATGCTTAGGTAATAAGTAAGGATGCTTAGGTAATGTGTGTGTGCATCATACTTCCCAAGCAACTGAGAAACTACACAAGCCTGAGAAATACCTCAGATATTAGAGAGGCTTCCATTATTCCAAAGAGTCAAAGTAACCATCTTCCCCTTCTATTTCCAGTATTTCTGTTTGCGCACTTAAGCATCATTGGAGTTAGGGAGTGTCCTTCCAACTCCTCCAGCACTACAGCATTTTCTCACCTCTGCACATCAACAACTTAATATGAGGGGGGGGGCGGGGGGAAACAACAGTCTGACATGACAGATGGAGATGTCTGAAATAATTGCACTCACACCTGCCCCTTTTCTGCTTACAAAAGATTTTTCATAACATGACAACTTAATGGTTAAAAGCAGTCTTTCTACTGACTGAGTAAACACGGAGCGTAATAAAGAGAATTTAATTAGCTCTAATAATTTTCAACCTGACGTGTCAAAGAATTAAACAAACTCTAAATTACAATAAAAGGCTAGGCTGCCAACTGGATACCACTCCTGCCAGTTTATTTGTAATTAAGACACCAAAACTTACAGCATTTTTGTTAGTGACATAACAAACAAAACATACATTAAATACCTATGTGCACATCAAGTGCTGCTGAAGACTTATCTGTAGTGGGGTCACTAATGAGAAGAGCTTTAATGCCATTTGCCAATTCCAGTCCACGATATTCTCGTTTATCCTCAGGTGATTTGATAATTTCATTTGTTATTCTCTTAATAGCTGGATTGTTCATTTTGTTGTTTGTGTCTTTCTGAAACCTTAAAGAAAACAGAATAAATTTCACTTACTGTTTCTACTTAAGCCCTGCTAGTATTTTGACATTATGTTAGAGAATACTGGGCAATACTGAAAGCAAGAAATTTAGTTCTGCACAAAACTCATAGAGCTGGCCTAAAAGTATATTTCAGACCCTGAGAGATATTGCTCTTAAAACAAAAAAAACCCTCTGAAGATCAAGCAACATGGTAAAATTGTAGATCATGTAATTGAATGTTTCAAGTTTTATACTAACGGTAATTAAAAGAGTAACTTAGTAAAGCAATGTCATCCCTTTATTCAATTACAATAAAAATGAAATTAAATGAAGCATACATTGCTATCTAAGAATACTTTCAGGCTTCAGGAAAGTATTTAGTGCGTCTGAATTGGTGGTTATATTATGAATGTTGTAACTTTGCAATTATTGGATGAGCAAAATTTTACTAATAAACCACTGAATTTGTACACTCAAGTACAAAACAGTGACACCATTTATAATAATGCCATAAAAATACAAACACACTGCAGAATTGCCATGACAAAGAGGAACAGACTGTCTCACATGTTTAAACTTCCACTATTAGTTTAACAGACATGCCATGAGATATGCTTCTTTAATGGCACAATTTTGAAACGCTAAGAAACTAAGTGTGATTCTGAAATTATAAACTCTGGCTAGTCAATTTTTTTAAATGCCAAGTGAAAAGGTGAGAAACTCTGACTTGGATATTTGGGAAGGTAGAGCGGAACCACTTGGCTGCATGTTAAAAAAACAAAACAAAAAAAAAAGAAAACCACACAAACAAACAGCACACCAACACACAAACCACTTAAACACAAAAAAAGCAAAGCTCAGAAATGGGAAATCAGAGATACACTCTGAGCCAGTCATGTAGTGTATTCCGGTACGTAACAGCCACTGAACTCTAATTCTGTTTTACACAAAGGTTTTAGAACAGGGCCTGTTGTAAATACATAGCACCAATCAAACTCAATCTTTTCGTGTGGTGAAACATCGCTTGCCATATTGCCAAGTAACTTGCTACATGAGCTTCATTAGTTGTTGCTGGCCTGATTTCACTTAGAAAGAAAACCAGATCCATCTCACTCCTCACCACAACACATACACAGAGGCATGAGAAATTTTGTATGGTCCTGTGGGTATCACACAGATAACAAGTAGTTTCACAGTATCTACTTTTCCATTTTCAGGCTGTACGGTTCAAGGAACTTCATTCAAGTTTTAAGACTACATACCAGGTTTAAGAACATGCGTGGAACACAAAGGACTGCACAGTTCTCAACATACTTACTGTTTCAGATCTTCAGTCCTGAAGACATTTTAACTAACCCTCTAGCGAGCAAATCAACTGCACACTCAATGTTACCAGATACACAACAAAACACTTGGGGAAAAAAAAAAATCTTATTATATGTTTTATTTCTAGTCTAAAACTACAAATGAAAAAGGGAGCCAACTAATAAAATTTCCTTCCTAAAATACCGCATCATTTTCAAAACGGGAAGCAGTTCTGTGAGCTACTGTCCCTCTGGATTATCTCCTTCCCATTTATTCATATGATTCTATGGTATAAAAACAACAGCCAACTTGAAGCCAGCAGATGCAGAGTCATCAGTGTTGGTGTTAGATACTATAATGAGACCGATAAAGAGCTCATTATTAACATCATGTTAAAGATAAAAACTTTATGGACATAATGTCTACAGTAGATTCAGTGAAAAAAAGTGCTTCTCAAACAGAAAATTTAAGATTTTACCTGTAGCAGAGTGAAAGCTTGGATAAAACAGTATTTATGCTTCAGGAAGGAGATATGTATACAAACTGGAGAAAATATTATTGTAAAAAAAAAAAAAACAACACAGCAGTAAAGTAAGCATTAGATCTTTGAATACTTTTGAAAGAGGTAAAAAGATTACTTTGAAACTTTTAAATAGCCTTATTTTACAATGCTCCCTTATACAAAAGAAAGCAAAATCACAAACAGGAATTACAATCCAAATAAAAAAACCACAGCAGCACTGGGTACAGAAAGCATTAATGAATAATCAGATTCTGAATGTCTCTAAGCAAGAGACAAACAACATGGAGTGACTTTTTCAAATGTGCACCTCAACACATTTTAGAAGGAAACACTTTCACTAGTAAAACATGGTTCTCACACCATGAATTATGTTTTAAAAAGTGCAAACACAATCACTAAACAGTAACTGAAATACTGAATTTAAATTTAAATGTCTACACTCTCATTTAAAACTGTCATTTATCCTCTAGATTAACCCTGTACTCAGGCTAATCTTGCTTAGAATATCTATAGACGTCCTTCCTCTGAAAAAAATGCAGATACCAATCAAAAACAAAGGATACTCCAAGTACAACATCTATGTTTCTTTGCATCAATGGCACTGCTATTATCCATGCTTATGATTTAAAAAAATGTCTCCTTGTTCAAAGTTCAGAGTACTAAGTAGAAATATTCTACTAAACTTAAGATACTGTGTAAAATCTATGAAGCAGGGATACTGCTTTCCATAGACAAGAATCAGTAACTAAACTGTTCTTAATTGTGTTTCACTTGCACACAATTCTATTGCATTGATAAACATAAGCATGTAGGAGAGCAAGGAAGTCTCTGAATCTCCTGATTTCACCTCTGCTAAGGAACACCTATCACTTAGTTTTCAGCTAAAATACTCCATCTCATTAAGAGAGTAGTTGCTTATCATAAGACGCATACATACTATAAACTTCTGAAGTGGTTTTCTTTTTTTAAATGTTATACAATTTCCTTGTCATCTGATATCTCCGTGTTATTTCCACACTACATCACTAAGGCACAGAACTTTACTGTTTGTTCAGATGACTCATCTTTCCAATGTGATTCACCAAATTACGCAGCTTCTGTGAAATCTTACGAGATTTCAGTTGATGTCTTGTGAAGCTGTACACCTCCACTTCATTTAGTTATCATTCCCTAATTCTGCCTCCTTCATAGGCTACCTCCAGCTTGGTAGTCAAACTTCAGTACAGGAAAAACCTACAATTTTCAAAAGGTCAAAAATCAGTAATCAAGCTTTCAAATCAAGGACTTAAAACTTAGATCTCTGTCTGCATTGTTATTTCAATAGGTATTGTGAATACAACATTCTCTTCAACTTCAAATGGATCTGCACGATTAACCCACAATTACTTCCCTGCAAACTAAACTGTAGCACCTGACAACTCATATAAAAGCAAGAGCAGATCAACTATGCGATATCCTGTAAGGCAATACATCAGAAGAACAAGACCAGTACCTTCCTGCTTACGTACTGTTCCTCTTGGTGCTATGCTACTACAATGCAATAGCTAGAAAAGAAAACGTCACTCCAAATAACAGTACTTACACAATGACTTCTTCACAAGGAGTAACTCTAAGATGTAATGTTAAACATGCCCTCACATCACTGCTTTTCTGTGCGACTTTTAAGTTGCCTGAGTGCAATTGCTTTGTAACAATACTATATTCCATTCTTTCACACAAGAATCCTAAAACACTACAAACCACTTTTTCAAAACAGAATTGCTTTTGACCATAAACAAAAAAAGTAATGGAAACAGAAAGAATTCTGTATTTCTTCTAGTTTTTTGAGAAGTAGCTTAATCCCTAAAGTCATGCCCAGACACTGTCCTGAAGTACATGTTCTACACCTACTTGCTATGCTCGTTACAGTGAGCACTGAATGCTGATGTCCAGTAGCAAAGAAATTCATGCACAAACTGGATGCTATGTTTATTGCAGAGCTAATATCCTAACAAATCATAATTAAAAGAAATATTGTCACACTACTTTCACAAAACAGGAGCAACAGAGAAAGACCCAATACAGCAAAAACAGCAGGAAGAAACACAAAGCATTACTGTAGCACTGGAAATTCTTCCACTGGCTCAAAAATTACAGGTGGCAAGATGACAGAGCAAGAAAGAAAAAGAGAAAAGAATAGGGATGTTTGAACTGAAAGTGGTGTCCATATTCAATGACTAGGAAATATTAAGCATTCTTCCTCATGAAAATTACTTCACTTGTACAAGTATCAGTCAAAACAGACGCTGAATTTTAAACTATAGCACTTTGAAGTAAAATTATACTCTACTCTATTCTGCCCCTTGTACTCGGAGTACTTTCACTTTTGTAATGATTTCCAGGCAGGTAGTCCCTTGGAACCAGCAAGGCTCTCTGTGGATGCCAGGTTCCACTCACAAACAGAGCATTAGAGTGGGATTAAGCGATATATGATCCCGTCTAACTATTTTAATCTTTCTAAGTTATTTCAGTAAACTTACTTTAATTAAAAATTAGCCAGCGTAGTCAAATCTAAGTACAATGTTTGAACAATTAAAGGACCATATTTGAAAACCAATTAACAGAAACTCCTGAGGGTTGCTTCAACGCAAGAATGTAACTAGCTAATAAAAATATGACCCCCAAAGCACAAACTCCAAAGTGCTTTTCAGGACATTTTTTTTTCCACAACAGGCTGCACTTAATAAGTCAAGCACATCATGAGTCAGACAAATGGCTATAAACACTAATCAGTTTCAAGTAACCAGATGAATGGCAACAGTTACCAGCTCAGCAGATTTTTATGCTTGTTTTCAATTTGTATCAGTTGCCCTAAAATCTGGGGTTTGCCTGAAGCTTTTATACAACTGAACCCAAATTACTTCTATGGACACACCTACGGGTGTTGCAACATACTCTACACTTGGGTACACTAGGATCTGAATTGCTCCTCTTTTTCTACTCATGTTTCATCTGTCTTTTGAATACGCTTGGCATGTTATGCTGACTGTAATACAATTGTTATTCGAGTTCTAACTACGTCTTTGAAACTATACAAAGACCACAGTAATGTTCAATCTCACATTTTGCACCTGTTTCAAGTTCTGTATTTTATTTATATCCATTTATTTTT